GTCACTGAGGACAGCCATTCCTCAGGTGAGCCAGCAGAGAGCGTTAGTGGTGGTGGTGGGGAGGTGGATTGGGGGTCGCCCAGAATTTCGGCACAGTTTGGGCCACTAGAGGTGGAGAAAAAACAGGAAGACTGGTCCCCCGAAGACTCAATGGGAGAATGGGATTGGGGGACACTACTGGGGACTATGAGTCCTTGACAGGGTCTTCAGGTAGCTCACACACCTCAGAACCTGCTGCACTTTCACCCAGAGCTGAGTCTGTTTAAATTGCCCCCTCAGCCCAGACCTAAATTTGTTGCACCCTGGCCCAGGACTAGGGCCAAAAATCCAGAATTCAAGAAGCTAGTTTGTAGGGCTCCAAACCCGGAACAGGAAGCAAGGACAAGCTATCTCGATTTTCCCGGTTCCAGAAGGCCATACAAAAACGAGCGCGGCTCTGGAGTGGGGATGGGACTACCCGTACGTCCCCCAGGACATTATGGACATTGTTGATGACTCCAGAATGGGAGGACAATCTTGTCTGGGACTACCTACATGTTCCTAAACCTTAAGGGGTCCATACCTTACTGCGGCTTGGGGCTGGTTGTTGAAAATCAAGGAAGAATGGAGCAGGGGCTGGGCCATCTATAAGGACAGGGTGGTGGTCATGAAGGGAGGGAGGCTAAAAGTGACCAACCCTGTCTCTGCCCGCAGGAATAATGGTTCCATTGCCCAGCCCCAAGCAATACTACTGAGGTTGGACGCAGGATCCCCAACTCAGTGGGCATTGATCTTGTTCTCTTTCCAGACTAAGCTGGACTTTGTCCCCCAGATGTGTCAATATGGGACTTGTCTCCGAGACTGCCTAGTCTCCAATTCCTTTAGGAGGGGATCCTCCCCAAGTTATTATTATATTATTATACAGTATTTATAAAGCGCCGATAGTTCGCTCAGCGCTGTACATTACAAAAGGGGGACAGAACATGTGACAGAACAATAACAATACAATGCAAAACATGAGGGGATTGAGGGCCCTGCTCTTTCAAGCTTACAATCTAGGAGGGAGGGGATGGTGGCACAGGAGGAGAAAGTTGTGGGAGATGGAGTGGTAGGAAGAGTGGAGGATGACGGCAAGTTAGCAGGGGGTGGGGTAGGCTTCCCTGAAGAGATGGGTTTTCAGGGTGCCCCTAAAGGAGAGGAGAGTAGGTGATAATCTGATGGGTTGGGGCAGGGACTTCCAGAGGATGGGTGACACCCTGGAGAAGTCCTGGAGGCGGGCATGGGAGGAGGAGACCAGGGAACTAGAGAGAAGGAGGTCTTGTGAGGAGCGGAGTGTGCGTGCTGGGCGGTACTTGGATATTAGGTCAGTGATGTAGTTCGGGGCAGTATGGTGGACAGCTTTGTACGTCAGTGTTAGGATTTTGAATTTGATCCGTTGCGCAATCAGAAGCCAGTGGAGGGATTGGCAGAGGGAGGTGGCGGAAATGGAGCGGTTGGAAAGGTGAATGAGTCTGGCAGCCGTATTCAGGATGGACTGAAGCGGGGATAGCCAGCAGCGAGGCAGGCCAGTGAGGAGGGAGTTGCAGTAGTCGAGTCGTGATATGATGAGGGAGTGGATGAGCTGTTTAGTGGTTTCTGGGGTTAGGAACGTGCGGATTTTGGCGATGTTGCGGAGGTGGAGTCTGCACGAGTTTGTTAAAGATTGGACTTGGGGCTGGAAGGATAGGAGGTTGGAGTCCAGAATGACACCAAGTACTCTGGCCTGTGGGGCGGGTTTGATGGTGGCGTTGTTGGATGTGATGGAGAAGTCAATGGGGGGTGGTGTCCGGGCTGGGGGGAAGACTAGGAGCTCGGTTTTGGAGAGGTTCAGTTTAAGGAAGTGGAGTGACATCCAGTCTGATATGTTGCTCAGTAGGCTTGTGATTCGGGCGGAGACTGAAGAGGTGAGGTGAGGGGTTGAGAGATAGATTTGTACGTCGTCAGCATAGAGGTGGTAGTTGAAGCCGTGGGAGTGTATGAGTTGGCCAAGGGAGGAGGTGTAGATGGAGAAGGGGCCCAAGGACAGAGCCTTGAGGGACCCCAACAGAGAGGGAGTGAGGGGGAGGTGGTAGCATTATAGGTAACGCTGAAAGAGCGTTGTGACAGGTAGGATGAGAGCCAGGAGACAGCAGAATCTCTGAGGCCGAGGGAGTGTAGTTTTTTGAGGAGGAGGGGGTGGTCGACTGTGTCGAAGGCCGTAGAGAGGTCAAGGAGTAGGGAGCACTGAATAGTGGCCATTAGCGCTGAAGTGCTTAAAATGTAGTTAGTTAGCCAGTGTTAGGGCTGTGCAGTTTCTCTTTTTGTCTACTGTTCTGCAGGTCTTCAAGATGGCTGTCTCCCTGTAACAGGACCAACAAGAGGAGTTCTTCACTTCATGAAGGATTTCCCTCGGGGGGAGGTACTTCATGTGCTTTTGTTTTCACCAATCTGTACATATGTTGTTGTACATGTAACTTTGTTGCCTGTTGCTAGTGATAGCTAGGTTCAGGCTGTGTAAATTTGTCTGTACATATGTATATTTTTATACAAATATTTGTTTGTACATATTTTCCCCTTTCCCAGTTGTGTACATTTTTCCCCTTCTTTTTACTGTATGGGATACCCTGCTTCTAGGATCAGGAGCCATTTTTTTTTTTTTTGGCCCCCAGCCAAAGAGGACATGGCTGTTTTCAGTGAATGTAGCACCCTCCTAGGTAGCTAGGGGGAGCGCTAGCTCTAATTGTCACTCAGGAGAGCTAAGTAGCAGCATGGGTGTGATAGCCAGGTGGGTCAAATTCAGGTCAGAGCTGACAGGCTCTGCAGACTAGCTCTCTGGGATTTCTCCTGCTCTAGAACTTTGGAGAAAGATCTAGAAGCAGTGAGTGGAGGTGAGGAGTGGCTGGTCTGTACTCTTAGAGGATCCTATCCAATCCCCTACAAGAGGCTTGGCAAAGTGCCATGACAGTCTTTAAGAGTAACTGAGCCTGCTCAGCAGGAGAAGATTTGGAGGAGAGTTCAGGTGGAAGAGGAGGATGTGAAGCTGGAGAGCAGGAGTCTGGAAGGGGGCCCAGATAGGATATGGGGCTCATCTACTAGCAGGAAAACCTTGCAAGGAGGATGCATGGGACTTAATTGGCCCCCTGGAGAGAAGACCACCTGTGTGGCAAGCAAGGAGCAGCCCAGCTAGAAGGCTTGGTAGCAGCCACTGACCATCCAGTCACACAGGAGAAGGACTAAGTGAGTCAACCTTCACCCCAGGGCCAGATAGGGGAAGGAGCACTCTGGTATGAAATCAGATTAGCAACTACCCGGGACTGTCTTACTGTGAAGTGACAGGCACTGGATCCCCTGCTCAGGGATTCCTCCAGGCAGCCGGATAAAGGAGTATCTGGGGTGGTACATCCCGAGACGCTGGCTAGCTTTCCAAGAGGATTTTGCTGTAAAAAACTTCCATAGACGTTGCCTTCAGTTTTGAAGTTCCATTTGGCATCCCACACACCCCTAACCCCATCCCAGATCAAATCCACTAATAAAACCTCAAAGACTGGTTTTACTGTCTCCTGGATGCAAGTTGAAGTGGAAATGTGTGTTGCCTGGCTGTGCAGGACTATAGGGGGAATCCAAATCTCTAGCCACTCCCAAGGGGGTAGTGCTACATGTACGTATCACCTTCCACATTTGTACCTCTCTCCCATCTATTTTTCTCATGGGATGCCCTTGCTCCTGGGCCCAGGAGCAAGATTTGTATATATTTTTCCAGCCAATGGGGACATGGATTTTTTTTTTGGGGGGGGGTTACTAGCATAGTGTAGTAATATTGCAGGTAAAATCACGGTGTATGACTCATGGTAACTGTGTGAGTCTGTGAGGTCAGGTTCAGCTGGATGACTCAACGGTTTCTGACTCTCTCGCCTCCTCCTGACCCAGGAGGACCATATAGAGAACCTTCCAGAAGTCAGTAGGCAGAAAGGGGTGGAAACCTAATCTGCATGTTTATGGGAGTCTGGCCAACCCCAGATTTGGAGACCCTAGTAGAGTGATAGACCAGACTGGCCCATAACTATAGGAAGGTCACGTTGACAGGGTAGTTGGGTGGAAGATGGTGCTGAGACTGTCCGTGCCTAAGAGGGGTCCCCTAGGTCTGGGTTGGCTCAGGAGGATACATTCAGCAGCACAGCATGAATGGGATCAAGACTTGGAATCAGTGGGAGCAAAGAGGACAAAGCGAGTACTTCAGCACACCCTGGTATTCATATGGGGAGAGACTGCCACATGTAGCAAGCTTTCAAAGGACAGCTTTGTGCTCAATCCTTTATCCATGTCCTGGGAGATCTTCAGAGCAGCCAGGAGGGCTGGTAGTGTCTGCAGGCTGTGGAGCTGGGAGCCATTCTACAGGGGAGAGGAAATGTCTCTGCATGTAGTTACAAGAAGCTAAGCTGATTTTTGAGGGGCTGGAAGTTCCTCGCCCATAAAGGGCTGTTGCTACTGATCCACAAAGGAGGTTGTCCCCCCTTCATTGATTCAAGCCAAATTGGGCATCCCACAATCCCTATTACCCTATCCAAGTTGTTTCCCCTAAAAAAATACCAAAACCAAGCTCACAGACTGTCCACTGACTGTGAATGCAAGTGTGGAAAACTCACGTTGCATGGCTGTGCAGAGGTCAGGGTTACCCACAACGCAGTAAACCCTCACAAGGGTAGCGCTACATTGATTTCTAAGACTAGGCTCCATTGACTCCAATGGGGTTCAGGTTCAGCAAGTTCACACAATCTGCCTCGAACTGGACCCAGGTAAGTTCAACTCATCACTATATATAAATCATGTCGGAGTAAATAGTCTGCAGCACAGAGAAGGGGGTTTATCTGAGAGGAAAGAAGATCTAATGTGCAGTACGGGTATCAGTGCAAGGTGAGTATTATCAACCTATGACATCACTCATCTCCTGCCCTACTCTGGACCAATCAGTGTGCAGTAACAGAGCAGAGATAACAGAAGAATATATTGTGGCTCACCTGTGCTGATCTCTGTAGGAGTGTCCTCCTCTTTGATTGTCCTCGTCATTCCAGCCTCCTCCATAGACTGCTGATCATCCCTCACATACGTCTCTTCTACTTCACCCTCAACTTTCATCTTCATCAGATCTTCACCCTAAACCAACAGAATGGCAGAAATAACATCTGTAATATAGAAGGATTTATGATGTGAGATCACATAGAAAATATCATCTTGTAGAGTCCACACATCGTCTCCACATGTCAGAGTGTTCCATCACTTTATGTTCCAGACCCTCAACTCCACCGACCTGATGATGGTGAGGGAAGGTGTGACCTTCCTGTGTGGAATCCCGGGAATACAGAGGACGGGGACATCTCTCTGGTGGGTTTTTGGTATTAGCTGACTCCATGTCCATGTTGAGATCCTTGTGTCCTTCAGAAAGGTTTTTCATCACTCCATACTCCTCATCCTCCTCTTTGTACTCTTCTTTTACAACAATATTATAATCTAAGAGGTTTCCATTCTGAATATATAATAAAAAAACATTCATTAGACCAGACAAGCTTTTGTATAACTCTTAACTATCAGTGATTGTTCCTCATCTACCTGGTGATGGTGAGGAATGGTGGGATCTTCCTGTGTGGAATCCCAGGAATACAGAGGACGGGGACATCGATCTGGTGGGTTCCCATGACTGGATACATCTACTTGCTGATGGTGAGGGATGGTGTGACCTTCCTGTGTGGAATCCTGGGAATACAGAGGATGGGGACCTCCCTCTGGTGGGTTCCCATGACTGGATCCATCTGTAGGAAACACACACACTGACTGAATCCATTGTTTCTATGTGTTTATCAGATGATGGGGGATCTAGGTGGATCCTCCGTACTGCTCTCTCCTTTACAATAAAGTCTCCTCTTACCCGGTGATGTGAGGGGCGGCTGATTGTCCATCATGACGTCCTTGTAGAGATCCTTGTGTCCTTCTAAATACTCCCACTCCTCCATGGAGAAATAGACAGTGACACCCTGACACCTTATAGGAACCTGACACACACAATGATACAGTCACCATCCAGACACATCCCTTGTCTGTTACTGGAGAATGTCCCAGAATTCCCGGCACCGCTCACCTCTCCTGTCAGCAGCTCCATCATCTTCTTGGTGACTTCTAGAATCTTCTGCATGTTGTGTCTCTCAGGGTTTAGGGAGTCACATGGAGGCACTGTGATGGTCATATGATCACCTGACTTCACAGGAGGAAATCTCTGTTGAAAAACCAAGAGAAATATCATGTTAGTAGAATCCTCCTCACCTCTCCGGTCAGGTCTGTGTTTTATTAATAGAGATAAGAGTGATGTCATGTGACCTCCCAGAATCCTCCTCACCTCTCCGGTCAGGTCTGTGTTTTATTATTAGCGATAAGAGTGATGTCATGTGACCTCCCAGAATCCTCCTCACCACCTCTCGGTCAGGTCTGTGTTTTATTAATAGAGACCTCCCAGAATCAGAGTCTGTGTTTATTAATAAAGATCAGAGTGATGTCATGTGACCTCCCAGAATCCTCCTCACCCTCTCTGGTCAGGTCTGTGTTTATTAATGATCAGAGTGATGTCATGTGACCTCCCAGAATCCTCCTCACCTCTTTGGTCTGTTTTATTAATAGAGATGAGTGTCATGTGACCTCCCAGAATCCTTTATCCGGTCATAGAGATCAGAGTGATGTCATGTGACCTCCCAGAATCCTCCTCACCTCTCCGGTCAGGTCTGTGTTTATTAATAAAGATCAGAGTGATGTCATGTGACCTCCCAGAATCCTCCCTCACCTCTCTGGTCAGGTCTGTGTTTATTAATAGAGATCAGAGTGATGTCATGTGACCTCCCAGAATCCTCCTCACCTCTTTGGTCAGCTCTGTTTTATTAATAGAGATGAGTGTTGTCATGTGACCTCCCAGAATCCTCCTCACCTCTTCGGTCAGGTCTGTGTATTATTAATAGAGATAAGAGTGATGTCATGTGACCTCCCAGAATCCTCCTCACCTCTCCGGTCAGCAGGTAGATGATCTCCAAGGTGAAGTTTAATATCCTCTCAGTCATGTGACTCTGGTCCTCCTCCATCCTCACTGATGTTTTCATGCAAGTTTCTCTGTGGATGGATAACGGAGAATTATCTGGACTATATTAGTTGTACAATATTAGGATGGGGATGTAGGGAGTTAAACGGCAGGCATCCCCCTATTTAATCATACCATAGTTTTGTCTCAGGTGGTACAATCTGACTTTCATTGCTGGAAAACATCATCCCCGTGTCTCCTAATTTGGTCCTGTTCTGTTTGCTGTTCTCCTGCTGGACAATTTCTACCCAACCATTGCTGAGGGCTATCGCTGGAATATTTTTTTCAGAATTAGGGAGATTGGGTGTGGCTAATGTGGGATAATTCAGGAGGAGGACAACACCCCCCCCCCCCCCTTTACCTGAATTTTACGGCGAACCCATTAATTTTGCATGAAATTCCCACTTAAAGTTCATACCAGTCGTGAAGGGTCTGGTATTGAAGTTGGGGAGTGCCCCACACTCTTTTTTTTTGGTGTGGTCATCAGTGGCATCCATACAAGACCCCCTTGAAGAATAAGGGTCTGGTATGTATTTCAGGGGTGAAACCCACTGTTTTTTTTCATTGTGGGATCCCTTGTTACCATCGATAACATTCCCTCATTTTAGATATGGGTCCGATATAAGATGAATGGAATCCCTGGCCACTTTGTTTACAGGAAGGAAGAGGCTTCCATGGGGTTCAGATTCGGTACCTGAATTTTAGTTACGGTCTGTGGAGCCGTCTCCCCCTGAACCCAGGTATGTTCATCTCATCACCAAGGAGAAGGTGACCCATCTCCACAATGAAGAGGATGTTCCGGCCCCGGAAGTGGGGGAATGTTGTGCCCCTGAAAGGGTTAATCTGGGTTCCCAAACTATATATGTATCAGGGATGTTGAATTTATATCAGCCAGGACATGTGTAGTTCGGGGCAGGTAGTTTTTTTTCCAACCTTTAGCCGGGCAAGCAGCAGGGCTCAACTGTCAGGTGAAAGCAGTTGGGCTGAAGCACTGCCACTGATTGTGTCCACACAGTGCCAGCCTCTCCCTGTGTGAACCTCCCCCTGCATGAGGTCTCCCGGGCTCCTTTTGCCCATCTGTGAGCCCAGGACCGATTCACCGCTGTCAGCTAAAGGAGAACGGACATGTGATGTGATGTCAGTTATTATTATTATACAGGATTTATATCACGCCAACAGTTTGCTCAGCACTTTACAATATAACGGGAGACAATACAGCAACGATAAAGTTTAATACAAGAGGGACAGGAGGGCCCTGATCGTGGGAGCTTACAATCTAGGAGGGAGGGGCTAGTGGTACAAAAGGTAGTAACTGTGGGGGATGGGCTGGTAGGAGTAGAAGAAGATTCCATTATTAGCTGAGGGCAGGATAGGCTTCCCTGAAGAGAGAGGTTTTCAGAGATCGCCTAAAAGTGTGCAGAGTAGGCGATAGTCTGATAAATTGAGGTAGAGAGTTCCAGAGGATGGGGGAAGCTCTGGAGAAGTCCTGCAGACGACCATGGGAGGAGGAGACAAGGGAGCTAGAGAATAGGAGGTCTTGCGAGGAGCGGAGAGTACGGTTTGGGTGATATTTAGAGACAAGATTGGTGATGTCATTTGGGGCGGAGTTATAAATGGCTTTATATGTTATTGTTAATGTTTTGAATTTTATCCGTTGGGCAATGGGAAGCCAGTGGAGGGATTGGCAGAGAGGGGTGGAGGACACTGAATGGAGGCCAGTGGAGGGATTGGCAAAGAGGGGTGGAGGACACTGAATGGAGGCCAGTGGAGGGATTGGGACAGAGAGGCCAGTGGAGGGGAGGGGTGGAGGACACTGAATGGAGGCCAGTGGAGGGATTGGCAGAGAGGGGTGGAGGACACTGAGTGGAGGCCAGTGGAAGAATTGGCACAGAGGGATGGAGGACACTGAATGGAGGCCAGTGGAGGGATTGGAAGAGAGGGATGGAGGACACTGAATGGAGGCCAGTGGAAGAATTGGCAGAGAGGGATGGAGGACACTGAATGGAGGCCAGTGGAGGGATTGGCAGAGAGGGGTGGCAGATACAGAACAGTTAGTAAGGTGGATGAGTCTGGCAGCAGCATTCATGATAGACTGAAGAGGGGATAGCCTGCGATGAGGTCGGCCAATGAGGAGGGAGTTACAATATTTGAGGCGAGATTTAACAAGGCAGTGAATAAGTTGCTTAGTGGTTTCCGAGGTTAGGAACGGCCATATCTTGGAGATGTTGCGGAGGTGAAGTCTACAAGATTTGGACAGCGATTGGATTTGGGGCTGAAAGGACAGATGGGACAGTTCCGGGTCCCTGTCGACACATTCCCACCCATGGAATGAATATAATGCACTATCATGTGCACTGCATTACATTCAGTGGAGTACAGGAGAGACATGAGGGTCTTTTAGACCTTGGATGTCTCAATAAAGAGGACCTGTCAGAAAAAATCATCACATAGGGGACCTTGTCCCCTATGTGATTAAAAGAAAATGAAAAAAAAAAAATTTTTTTTTATTGCAAAAAATGAAAGTTACACCCAAGCACATAACCCCTCCCCCCCCTAAAAAAAAAAAACCTGAGGCCCCCCCACATATATGCACGCACAAACACACGCTTGTGCGCCTACGCATGAAAACATCAATTGCGATACCCATGCACGTATCGCCGCACACGCCAGGATGCAATAATTCTATTCTCTGTACACTATACTGATGACCTATAAGGAGCTTTAAAGGCGTCAGCTATAGAAAATATAGGGCACTGAAATTTGTCGCCATTTCACGAGCGCACGCAAATTTAAGGTTTGACACGTTGGATATCTGTTTACTCGCTGCAACCTTATCTTTTATATTTTACAAACAAAATTGTAATTTATTGCTTTTTTGTGCCCTAAAATTAACTCACTTATATGTTTTACTGAAATTTTGCGTTAATATCATGCGTCATTAAAAATTGGAACTACCGCTATTTTATTCTCTGGGGTCTCTGCTTTCAGAAAATTTATCATGTTTGGGGGGTTTTTGTGTCATCTTCAGGCCTAAAATGATTTTTTAAACATGTGCAAAAAAGGCTCATGGGAGTGAAAGGAATAAAGGATAAGCCGGACACGCCCCTTTCCTGAGAAGCAGCCAATCGGTGCTCATCACACTGCAAGGTCTTCCCCCTCCCTGCTAGTCCTCAGGGGTGGGGCTGGAACAGGCGCGGAGGGAGGAGGAGATAAACAGCGCAATGGCAAAAATATTAGTTGCCATAAAGCCCTTTTGTTTTTAAAAGCCCCGACATTCGTAGAATCACCTCTGATTTCAATACGGGTTTTGGTTAAAAAAGAAAAGTTTTCATCTGGACAAGTAGATTGGGGCCCCGATTTAGTCCCTGGAGAAGTTTCTTTCAAAAATTTGCACACCCCTGATGTATCATCATCTGCTGGGGATAAAAGACGTCACAGTGATTATGGAGGAAGAGGACGGACGTGACCACGGAGGAAGAGGACGGACGTGACTACGGACGTGGGGAAGAGGACGGACGTGACTACGGGGGGGGAGACGAGGACCACGGGAGGAAGAGGACGGAC